CGAGAGAGAGAGAGAGAGAGAGAGAGAGAGAGAGAGAGAGAGAGAGAGAGAGTGTGTCTAACCTGGCAGGGTGATTCTCTTGAGGAAGAAGTCCAGCCCTATCGTCTGTTTATACTGTTTCCCAAAAGCCTCTTGTGCAAAGCGGATGGCGAGAGAAGTCTGAAAACACACACACACACACACACACACACACACACACATTAGAACAGTTCAAACTGAATGAAATTGTTCTCACCTATCCTGAGGCTCCGCCTTCCCTCTGGTAATAAAGGGAGTGACTAAAGGATGACAACATCTTTGATTGACAGGTGCTTCAGTCGCGTACCACAGCCAATCGCGTCTGTGTGCAGAGAGAGACGTCCCAGATTCCCATTACCACATAACACACACACACCACAGAACCTCATACTCACTCACACACACACACAGGACATAACACACACCACAGAACCTCACACTCACTCACACACACACACTCTGTGGTCAGGTTCGTGCGCTGATGGGCCAACATTAATTCACTATGATGGATGTCTAATGGCTCTAAGCTTACAAACACAGAATGGAGTGAGATTTTAAGTTATTATTTCAATAACATAACGCGTTTACATGTTCATGTGTTTGTGGTGTTAATAATTAAATAATTCGGTCACACTTTATTTTAAGGTCCAATTCTTGCTATTAATTAACTATTAACTTCGACTTTTGCCTCAAACTCGTAATTACAGCTTAGTAAGGTAGTTGTTAAGTTCAGGTCTTGGGTAGGATTAGTGACATAGAATATATGTGCTTTATAAGTACTAATAAATATGCACTAATCTGCATTCATTTCCAGCACATAAATCTGATGACTGGATAAAGTCAGGTTGATAATTCTGGTCTGATTTTGTCCTCATATTAGAGTTAAATGTTTCTCCAGAGGGGATTGTGGATTTCTCTTTTCATCATAAATCAGAAAATACTGTCAACAGACAGAAAACAAACACATTTTCACCATGTTTTTAGGAGTAAAATGTTGCATAAATCAGTGTGAATGAAATATGAGCAAACCTTCAGAATATAGAGAGGAATAAAACTGTAACGTTTGCTGTTTGTAAGAGAAAAAACTCTTTAAAGGTTGAAATCTTTAATACTTTGGATGTTTTCTGTCCTGAAAGGAGACATGCTGCATGAGAAAACAATGTTTTATTTATTTGAATAACGGTAACGGTAGCACACCGCCGTCTGCTTTCCCTCTGCTCGAAGAGACGTTTAAAGAACCGCATCTGGAGCCAGAAGGGCTTGAACACACACTGCTACCCAGAAGCCTCTGCTGCGGCCGCGAGGTCCCCGCCGCTGAGAGCACAAACGCTGTGGATGCCACACAAACCAAACACAGAAATCCAGGATAAAGACATTTTTCCTGTGGTCTGAAACCCTGAAAGACATTTCGAGTAGGAAAACTGGCTCTTTCCTAAGATCTGAAACACTGTAGTTCAGCAGAGAGACACATGCTTCCCAAAACCACCTCGCTTTCACTCAAACCCGAGGACGATATCAATAATTAATGTTAATCAGACTTAATTTGGGTGAACCGATATCGATTCTTAAACTCCACTGGGATCTTTTATCCTACACTGAAAAATCCTTCACGTTTCAATAGAAATTGACATTAAAAAGAAATACGTTGAATTAAACAGGAATATTGAAGTTGAAAGACTGAAATAGTATTTTCTTGAAAATCAAAAATCTTTGTTTTATTTACAATTTCCTTTACAGTTTTTTCTTGCTTCTGTTTTCCACTGACGCATGAACTAAACATTATTTGTAGCTCCTGCCATCCAATAATCGCAATAATCTCTGTGCTTCACTATACTTTTAACATGAAACAAAGACCCCGCTTTCAAACTGTCAATTTCATCGCTAAATCCAATCAATAAATACCACTTTTTGTCGCTCTTTAATGTGCCGTGACACATTTCTTGTTCCTCTTTACTACTAGTTATAGCATGAAACAAGCATGAATGAACGTCAGAAGATGTTGAACGAAACAGAACAACTCACTGAAATGAATCACGAATCGTGTAATCTATTCAACCGCAGAAATCTTGAGATCATTCAGTGTCCATAAACTCATCAGTTAGCTAGGGATAATAACGGCAATAATAAATAGTAATAATAACTGTACTGTAGCCTGTTTAAATGCTAATATTTCAACAGTAAATTGCAGTAGAAATATAATTATATCATTAAAAGTTGATAAAACTGACTTGTGTGCAATTTAAATGTTTGTGCTATTTGAGTTTGTATGTTTGATCTATTAAAGTGCTGATTATTATTATTAATTTCTTAACGTTAACTTCAGCAATTACTAATGCATTATTAAAATAAACAGCTGTTAACATAATTTAATGAACCTGAGCTGACATTGTTATGAACTAACTTTAGCAAAGATTAAATAAATACTGTAACAAATCCTCAGCTGAACTCCGACAGCAGAAAAGTGACATCACTTCCTGTTCCTGTTCAAACATCTGCACGGTTTAAACGGACAGAGATGATGCGTCACGGAAACGCTGATCAATACTGACAGAATGCACACAAATACTGTGAACTAAAGTGATCTCTGGTCAGTCTCTGTGTTCGCTTGCATGTTTTCATAATTAGACAGATCTTATAACCCAACATAGAAAGGAAAGCATGATGCACATAAGTTAGTTAGTTGGTTAGTTAGTGAAGGTATTGGGGGCCTCAGCCTGCTCACACTGACATATAATGAACTGTCTGTATTCCTCAGTGAATGATCTTGGTGTATGTCAAACATCACTCACTAAAACAACAACAGAAGAAAAAGAACTCCTAATTAAACACAAACACTGTCTCTCGTGTGCATTAAGATCATTGGAATCCTCATTAAAACATGAGCGTGAATGAAGCTCAGCTCAAAGCCCCAGCACAGATTAACCAGCTAGATTAAAACAACCAAACCGCTGGTAAAAATAGCAACACCTTTACATTGATGTAATCTGCTCACGTTCCTCAGTGACTGACAGCGGCCTGTTATTAGGAGTTTGTGTATTTGCTCACTTTAGCTTCCCATCCACACTGACACACTGTAAACACAAGCTCAGACTGACCGTCAGCGCCGTCACCAGCGGTCATGATCAGACACACTGCGCATATATATATATATATATATATACACACATATATATACACATATGAAGAGTTTATTTGCAAAAACTGAAAACTCCAAAAAATCATGTTTTTTTTATTATGTAATCATGTTTTTATTGTGTTTTATTGTGTTAGTTAGCTGTAATTTTTAGTTATTTTTTAACCTAATCAAAATAACCCAACTGAAGTTTGATTGAGATTAATAGTAATGCACAATGAAAAAACATGATTTTTGAGAATTATCTATTTTTGCAAATGAGCTCTTCATACAGGCTATAGAAATACACACACACATAAAAAAACTGAAAAGTGAAGTGACATGTGGCCAAGTATGGTGACCCGTACTCGGAATTAGTGCTCTGCATTTACCCATCCAAAGTGCACACACACACCGTGAACACACACACGGAGCAGTGGGCAGCCATTTTTTGCTGCGGCGCCCGGGGAGCAGTTGGGGGTTCGGTGCCTTGCTCAAGGGCACCTCAGTCGTGGTATTGAAGGTGGGAGAGAGCGCTGTACATTCACTCCCCCCACCTACAATCCCTGCCGGTACGAGACTCGAACCCACAACCTTTGGGTTATGAGTCCGACGCTCTAACCATTAGGCTAGAGAGTCTCTAACCTCTATATAGGTAATATATATTCAAAATAGAAGGAAAAACATAGAAATGCACATATTTTCATAATTTTCAAAGTTTGCTCCCTTTATGTAGATTTTTTTTCTGTTTTTTCTTTCTATACTGCTTGTTTAAATACTATAGTCTCGTTTTAATGCTTTGGCAGTATTATGTATATACATGTGTGTGTGTGTGTGTGTGTGTGTGTGTGTGAGTGAGTGAGTGAGTGAGTGTGTGTGAGAGTGAGTGTGTGTGAGAGAGAGA